TGTCTATCAACTGATCATTTGACGCCTTACTGTCTTTCAGACTGCTCATCTAATGCTAGCTCTCCGACAGGCTACCAATTTTCATCTTTGATTCCCTATATTTACATTTTATTTTTCATTAATATGTCAACTGCAATATCTCCACAGGTTCCCACATCAACTCCATTAAATTAGTCCTAGATCAGACCATAGATGCAGCAGCTATTGACAATAATTGTTTAGCTTTACAAATGAAGATGAATCCGGAGTTAGCACAAAACATCCATGTCTTGGAATCCTTTGGACCACTGCCAATATATCCTATTGCAGTTAATGCTAATCTTCCAAGTAAGTATGTTCTCTACGTATATTATGTTTTTTATATGCTGCACTGTGAATTAATATCAATTATATGGCCTGAGATCATACATTTACATACATGTTTTGCTGAGACTGATCATTTCATTTTCTGTAGCACATTAATTTCTATATCACTGTACACATCGCTCTATCTAGGCATGTAAACAATAATTATATAATATATCCCTATATAAATTAATGGATAGGTATGTCATTGCTTTGTTGACCGTATATCACGATAGATCACAGCAGCTTTAAGTTTTATTAACAGCAAGATCCAAATTATTGAAATGATTAATTCACCAAAATTCAACAACACTTTGTTCAAAACATTTATCATAAAATATGACCACAATATTAAATAATTGCCAACTATACAAAATGCACCTTTGACCTGCTTTTCCCGATGTAATATTTGTGGGTATATAAATATTCAGAAGACTTGTCCCCAATCAGGGAAGCTCTATGGTTTGTATGTGCAGCATGCAGAATACATTAGTATGCTGGCATCTTAAATTTGACAATGTAGACGTCCACTACAAAATGATAATATTAGAAAAATTACCAAACGATATCCTAATTCATAATCAAAACAAAACAAATACAAATCAAACAAGTACACCATTGTCGTTCAAAACAATAACTGATCAACAATCAAGGACAAAACAACTGACAAGTACATAATACAATTAGATATGAAGTTATGTTTCAAAAAGAGTGGGCACAACCTGTTCCACCCTTAGTCAGTTATCTGTATTTGTACTTCTGTTTCAGATAAGTTAAAAAAAGACATTGCCGAAGCTTTGCTTGAGATGCATGCTGATATCAAGTGGAGTCATAAACTAAACCAGTTCCTGGTGTCGCGTTTTGTTGAAGTCAGTTTGGATAATCATAAAACAGAAGATGAACTCATGATGGAATGATGTCAGCAGCGTGTCTTTGAATAGCAATATGTTGTGGGTGTCAGTATGACAATTAACACAAGGCAAACTTTACAAGGAAAAACGGGTTCTTTATTTCACAGAACGGAAGAGATGTTGCTCCTTCACTGGCTTGGTACAATCTGCCTTTTAGTTTACTCTAGCTGTCTATTGTTTCAACATCCTGTTTACCTAGTTACATAACAAAGTGACCCACAAGTTTGTACTACACATGTTCTATCAAGGTTATTATTAAATTCACTAAGCTAAAATGATATCACATACACTCGTGAGTAAATTCACAGGTCTGATACTTGTCCCCATTTATAACAATATATTTAACGTATTTTAACGTAACTGACATTACTAACTAGAATGATCACAATACCTAACATGTGGGTTCTTAGTCCCTAAAGTCATAACCTTGACTCATCCACATAACTTATACTTGATCACATGACCACATTCCAGAAGCCATCACACTCTCCCCCTTCTAAATAAACGTCTTGTGACATTTGGTTCAACCCGGCTATACCTATCCCTAACACTAACTATCTACTGCTTAATTCATGAGATGACAAATACAAACAGAAAAAAACAATAAGCATAAAACAAGAATAAAAAATCAAATGAAAAGAAAGCTACTGTTCAATATTGGTGGCAGTGTTTGTGGTAATTGGTGCACACACACTGTATCCAGTGGTGGCAGTCTTTGAGGTAATTGGTTTACACCCACTGTATCCAGTGGTAGTAGTCTTAGTGGTAATTGGTGCACACCCACTGTATCCAGTGGTGGCAGTGTTTGTGATAATTGGCACAGACACACTGCATCCAGTGGTAGTAGTCTTAGTGGTAATTGGTTTACACCCACTGTATCCAGTGGTAGTAGTCTTAGTGGTAATTGGTGCACACCCACTGTATCCAGTGGTGGCAGTGTTTGTGATAATTGGCACAGACACACTGCATCCAGTGGTAGTAGTCTTAGTGGTAATTGGTGCACACCCACTGTATCCAGTGGTAGTAGTCTTTGCGGTAATTGGTGCACACACACTGTATCCAGTAGTAGTAGTCTTAGTGGTAATTGGTGCACACCCAATGTATCCAGTGGTGACAGTCTTTGTGGTAATTGGTGCACACACACTGTATCCAGTGGTGGTAGTCTTAGTGGTAATTGGTGCACACTCACTCTATCCAGTGGTGGCAGTTTGTGATAATTGGCACAGACACACTGCATCCAGTGGTAGTAAGTAGTCTTAGTGGTAATTGGTGCACACCCACTGTATCCAGTGGCAGTAGTCTTAGTGGTAATTGGTGCACACCCACTGTATCCAGTGGTAGTAGTCTTCGTGGTAATTGGTTTACACCTACTGTATCCAGTAGTAGTAGTCTTTGTAGTAATTGGTGCACACCCACTGTATCCAGTGGTAGTAGTCTTTGTGGTAATTGGTGCACACCCACTGTATCCAGTGGTGACAGTCTTTGTGGTAATTGGTGCACACACACTGCATCCAGTGGTAGTAGTCTTAGTGGTAATTGGTGCACACCCAATGTATCCAGTGGTGACAGTCTTTGTGGTAATTGGTGCACACACACTGTATCCAGTGGTGACAGTCTTTGTGGTAATTGGTGCACACACACTGTATCCAGTGGTCACAGTCTTTGTGGTAATTGGTGAACACTCACTGCATACAGTA